ACATAGAAAGTGGGCACAATATTTTCCCCATTTTTTGTTCATTTTCTCCGGCACCATTGGGTTAACTCCAACCCCATTCTTTCAAAATTACAAATGTCATTTAGATTTACCCTTTGGCTGTAATTATATTCCTTATTCATGTATTTAACAGCTACCAAACCGGAACTTATAATTTCATGTTTTTACAACAATCTAGAAATTAAACAATCATAATATATACATAATGTTTAGAAAATAATAATTTGCAAATCATTTTGAACTATTTGATACATTGTCATATCATAGGTACAATCACTGTATTATCCATTAACCCGATCAGCACAGATAGCAAGAATACATGGCATCCCAACTGTAATATAAGTTTATTTGTTGTATTTACACATAGATGGTTCTATAAGTGCTCAGACACCAAGGAGTCAGTTATTAATCCTACCTATCTCACCTGTTTATCCTTTTCTTTACTTCTAGAAATGTTCTTTTGTATTATTTCATTGTCCTACATCTTACCAAGATTTTAATAACAATTTAATAATCATAATATCAATAACAATAGCAAGAGTATTGATATGAATTGTATTATCCCATTGCCAACGGGCATGGTACATATGTCCATGCCATGTGTGACTGTGAGTTTACTTGTTTAATTGTTTTTACACATAGATGGCTAGACTTGTACTCAATCACCAATGAGACAGTTATAAGTACTGCCTGTCCCGCCAGTTCACCCCTTTCATTGATTTACAAAAATATTTTATGTTATCTTATTTTGCTGTTACTAATGTTTATAACATTAATCATAATATTTACAATAAAAATAACACCATTGATATTGATAGAACTAGTAAAAAATACACTTTTCCAGCTATCAGGTATGGTCACAAGATCTACTAATTGACTCTGTTGTGGCTGAGCACTAGCAGAGCCATCTAAATAACGAGACATTTCACAAAAATATAAAAAATGAGCATAGCATTTTCCCCAGTTTTTATTTTCTCGCCAATTCAAGAAATGGGGAAATCAGAATCAGGCACTAGGGCATACTGATAGACTCCTTGCAAATGGGGAGCCATCTATATGTAACACTATTCACAAAAAAACTACAGGGGACAGAACATAAATCCTTGGTGGTTGGGTTTATAGCCAAATGTTAATTCATCCTCACATACATGTACACATTAGATGCAAAAAAGAATACATGTGCACAAATTTCTTTAACCCATTGCCGCCGGGGAAAATGAACAAAAAATGGGGAAAATGCTGTGCCTATTTTCTATACTTTTTTGTTAACCCATTGCCGCCTGGGAAAATTAACAAAAAATGGGGGAAATGCAGTTACTCCGTCTTTACTTGTCTTTCCCTTCTGCCCTCGGGGAGATCAAAATTATCCCGACGATTCCACACGCGGCGAATAATCATCCCCGACCTTATATTCGCGTGATTTCCTTCCTCGCCGTGAAAATTTAGCTTATTGCTTAATTTTCTTTTAAGAGACTTTGGTTGGCAGCGCGCGAGTTTTGGTCGCGCTACGATGGTTCGTGACGTCATATTACTACTCCCATCCCATTGAAGTGATTGGCCGACAGTTCGTGACGTCATACTACTACTCTCATCCCATTGAGGTGATTGGCCGACAGTTCGTGACGTCATATTACTACTCCCATCCCATTGAAGTGATTGGCCGACAGTTCGTGACGTCATATTACTACTCCCATCCCATTGAAGTGATTGGCCGACAGTTCGTGACGTCATATTACTACTCCCATCCCATTGAAGTGATTGGCCGACAGTTCGTGACGTCATATTACTACTCCCATCCCATTGAAGTGATTGGCCGACAGTTCGTGACGTCATATTACTACTCCCATCCCATTGAAGTGATTGGCCGACAGTTCGTGACGTCATATTACTACTCCCATCCCATTGAAGTGATTGGCCGACAGTTCGTGACGTCATATTACTACTCCCATCCCATTGAAGTGATTGGCCGACAGTTCGTGACGTCATATTACTACTCCCATCCCATTGAAGTGATTGGCCGACAGTTCGTGACGTCATATTACTACTCCCATCCCATTGAAGTGATTGGCCGACAGTTCGTGACGTCATATTACTACTCCCATCCCATTGAAGTGATTGGCCGACAGTTCGTGACGTCATATTACTACTCCCATCCCATTGAAGTGATTGGCCGACAGTTCGTGACGTCATATTACTACTCCCATCCCATTGAAGTGATTGGCCGACAGTTCGTGACGTCATATTACTACTCCCATCCCATTGAAGTGATTGGCCGACAGTTCGTGACGTCATATTACTACTCCCATCCCATTGAAGTGATTGGCCGACAGTTCGTGACGTCATATTACTACTCCCATCCCATTGAAGTGATTGGCCGACAGTTCGTGACGTCATATTACTACTCCCATCCCATTGAAGTGATTGGCCGACAGTTCGTGACGTCATATTACTACTCCCATCCCATTGAAGTGATTGGCCGACA